CAGTTACAATATTGTCTTAATAATGCTATCCTCTTTCTATGATTTGCCTCTGTCTTTTTGATTTACTTGGCCAAACCATAAATAAAATGTCATCTTCTTTTGCTTCCAAGGTAGAATGAGATGAAGCATGCAGAAGAGCCATGTTTGTCTCAACAATAGGCTACAGTTTGACTATGGCACTTTGGTTGCTGTCCAAGCTAAACATCAAAAAACAGTGTAGCAAATCACACATTTTGTTCAAACACCGATGTCTGTGACAGTGTCGTACAACCAAAGTCGATACAACAAAATTGTGCACTTACAGGTAAGCAAATAGGACCTTAGCAGAGTAAAATTATAATCACTGCTAATTGTTAATAATTTCTCTCTATAATTTATCACCACAATACTTGGAAATGATTCATGCAATGAGCATGCCATATGAAAGAAGCTTTGACATATATGCATAACATGCATCCACACAAGTTCATGAACAACTATTGGCAAGATTCTTAATGGGATGACTTTTTTTATTACATTCTTCCATACAAAATACTGTTGGACACAGCTTAAACTAAATTACATGATTTTGACGAATGCTTTGCTTTTCTTTAATTTTGCCTTTCGTTGAGCTGATTGGGTACAACTTTCTACATATGAACTCAAGGCCTATTTCTTACCTAAATTCTGAGGAATGGTTATCAAGGAAAGACAATTTGTTCATCTCTTCATCGATGACATCCATGACTGGCTTTGGTACTTCCTTGCCCTGTAAGTACAAATGCATTTCCTAACTTTTTCTTCAGAAGACTGAAGTGGTAATATGTGTGAAACAATGACTGTTGAGTTGCCTCTTTGAGGTAAATTTTTGGCAGCAAACTTGACAGTGATCTACCTCTATTCCCATACAGGAACACAAGCAAAGTTAACGCAAGGGAAATGTATAGATAGCACAAAGACGCACCTTGAGTCTCTCTCGGAATTTCTCTTCTATGGCATCCTTATCATCTTTCTCCAAGCCCAATTCCTTCTTGATGATCTTCAGTTGTTCTTGGAGCATGTAACGGCGATGAGCTGTTTTCACTTTCTCCTCTACCTGTGAAAAATCAAGAAGAAACTCAGCAGTAAATTTCCACACTTGAGGTATCAGACATATCTAATGAGCCTAAGCGATAAAAAACTGTGACAATGTTTAATTTGTAATAAAATAAACAACTGTGGCCCTATTTAAGTTGCAACAAAATGACTGTGGCCTTACTGATTTGACTATGTACATCCAACCCTGTACAATAAAAAAGAATGTCCAAGACAAATCCCTTTAAAAAATTCCTCTGAAGGGCAATTGAAAGTGCCAAAACTCAGAGACAAAAGCAACTTTTTTTTCTCTCAACAGGGTATAATTCCTTACAGCTTGACCTCACTGTTATCTGGAGCCAGATCCTAAACCTTTGGCCACAAGCTGCTGGTGTCTTACCTCTTTACCAAGTCTTTGCTGGAGTTTGCTCACTTCATACTCTTTCTTGAGAAGACTGAGTGCTAACATCAGCCTCTTAGGTATCTGAGATGATACGTGTAAAGAGACATCAGGGTGGTTATAAGTAATTGTATTTATTAGGCCTTTTAACAGGTGTTTCTAAGCGCTCTTTGAAGTTGGAGTAAGTGTGTCTTTAACTGAATGTGTCCATTGAGAGTAGGTCTTGAACATGCCATGGCAGCCTCCTCTAGAGGGTGGGTGCAGCAACTGCAAATACTCACTGACAATAGTGAGTCCTGGTGAGTAGACCTTGGGCAAGCCAAAGGTGTTAAGTGGAATAAGATCGCTGATAACGACAGGCATACACAAATATGAACGGCAAATTCAGTGCACTGACATAAGTGGTCACTGAAGAAAAATAATCACACTACCTACAAGTATAACTTGTAGGTAGTGTGTAGAATGTAGATGTATCTTTGAGTTAAAAATAAACAGGAAAAACCACATTATGCGCAAGATACATGTAAAACAGAGGGCTTTGGTGTATTTGTCCAGTACTTAGAATGCTTGCTCAAATACCAGTTCAGGTAGCATTTGATACTCTTCAAGTACTTGTTCAAGTGCATTAGTGTACAAGAATAATTCGGCAGGCCTTCACCATGCCAACAGGGGACAGTTTCTTTTGTTAGGCAAATTAGGAAAGAGTTGTGGGAACATTTCTGTCCCTGCGGGTCATTATGGGTGCATACATGTATGTATGCATGTGTGCGATATCATACATGTTCAACACTGACTGATAAGATGTCAAATGGTGAGTGTGACATGCCGTAATATGGCACCCTGCATGTGATTGTTCTGGGCCAATGAAAAAGAAAGTACTCGAGACAGAGGTATTACAACATGAGTTGAAACATATTCAGTGGGAGAACCAAAACATTGTTGGGTCAGATTTAGAGAGAATTGCTTGATGTGATCCTTACATTCATTTCTTCTAGAACTTCCTGAAGCTCAGCTGGTTCTGCTCCAGTCAGCGCAGCACCTGCCAATCAAAGAAACAATTGAGCTTACATGGAAACGAATTCCCTTTCACAAAGCCATTCCATATCCAAGAAAATACTATATGCACATCAATAATACACCTTCATGTACACATGGCCAGTGCATTGAAAAAAAGAAAATTCTGCATACCGTTGGCTACAACCTCAGTCCTTGTGATTTGGAAATGGCAGGCGTGTGAAAAAACACTCCTGGACATTTCCAGGTGTGCAATTTTTCTAGGAGTGTGATTTTGAACAATGAATCAAAACCTTGGATCAATCAAGACATAGTAAAATACAAATATAAAATTGGGTCAACATTTCATATGACCAATCAACAAAACCAACAAGAAATAGTGCAGCAGTTTCACATCACACCTTCTTCCTTCAAGCAAACTCGAAGAGATACCAGTATGTCCAATACATTTAAAAAGAATCAGAGTTTCACGACGGTCGTAAAATCATGCTCTTTCCACAACAGCAGCCTTGACGGACCATGCAGTGATCTCCTCAACTGCAAGATCACTCCAATTCTCCATTGATTTTTAAAATAAATTTCCCGATTGTGCGAGGTTTCTATTCGCCGGATCGCTTTCCTATGAGAGTTATTTCTATTCATAAATGCAAAACATGTCTGCACACAAAGATCTGCTGCGGTCCACACTGGCATGATCTCACCGTGGCTTTCATCACTATGTGGCGCATCGTGATTGACTGGTCTGGTCCCATCCTCAACTCTAAAGGAATTTGTTGTTGCTCACTACACCTACGGCACGGTAGCCAGCATCGTGAAAGCATGTCAACTTCTAGAGATCATTTTGTGAAGATGTGAGTAAAAAGCCCAGATTTTCTGAAAAATGCCATCGTCAGTGATCGGAACAACTGTCATAGGACAAACATCTCCACAAAATACTTGGGATAATGGGAAAATTTGACCGAAAAGTGGTGTCATCTCATGGCTGCGCCGAGCGATTGAGGCTATTACGTTTTACGACTGCCATTGAAACTCTGCTAAAAATTGTGTGCGTTCCAGAGCTGTCAAATGGTCTGCAATCCTTGTGTTCATTCTTTTACAAAAACAGGATATAGTCTGTCCATGTGAATATACTTTGGTTTGTCTTGAAGAAGAACGGTAAAATTCCAAACATGGTCACAGCGGTAAAGCTAGTACAAGCTAGCAATTCCAAACCTTTAACACACAGCATACGTACAGGAACAGAAACACTTATTTCAATTGGTTCACATACTGACAAATATCTGCTCCGTTAAGAGCCTACCTCAACAACCATGTCCATCTCGCTGCTTTCGTCTTTCCCCACCCTGTACCCGAGGTCACCCATCCCCTCCCACCTCTTAAAAGCACTCAACTGCGCACACTTATCACTATCAGCCATGCTTGTTTACGGTTGTATACTTGTGAAGTGAAAACGTGTGCAGTGCAAATGCACGTGTTGCGAAGTTTTGCATAACACATGACCGTGTTTTGTGTGAGGAAGGCTGATTGGTCAGTGACCACAACTGGACTCAGTTTCGTCCAATGGTGTTTAAGCTTATAACTCTTCACTCATTATATATACTGACAACCCCGGCGATAGCCATGTATTTGTACAGCCCAGAAACAAGACTTCCCCTTGCGCTTCCAATGTGTGTGACGTACTACAAGCACATAAAGCCATGTACATGTACAGTTGGTGTATGTAGCATTATGCATGCAGCAACGCTAGCGACGTGTGTGCCGAACGATTGTACATTTTACACTGACAGAGCAACCGTGCAAAACTGTGTCGCCGGGAGAATCAAAAATGATTCCGTCATTCCTAAGAGTTAGGTAGGCCTAATTTTTGATTCTTTTCGTTTCATTTCTCTCAAAAATTGCAAAGTATAATTATAAAGTATAAGGTGTGAGACTTATAGATCAACCCTTTGGGGTTGTAAAGGGTCCACATTTGGCTGACTTTCATACAGAACAAATATTTACCTAAATCACTAAGATACACAGGATTGTCAATGACTCTCTGGCCAGCTTGGATCATTTGAGCAACAGATTCTCTGTAGAAAGGAATTAAAACACATAAATGCATTTAGTGAAGGTTACCACTTGAAGATTATCAAGTCAATCATATTTCCCAATGTACACACTTAATGTTGTTCCATTCAAGTCACTAAAGTCATTTTCATGTCAAAACTCGAGTCAAGTCAAGTCATTACATGTGGGTACAGATGTTGAGAGGTTGCGTAGAGTTGAAGACATTTGAGTCAGCATGTAGTCAAGCCATTTTGCTCAAGTCAATTCAAGTCACAAATAATTAAACTCAAAACAAATGAACATGAGAGAAAAAGTTACGTTTTGGCTTTTGTTTACTCACATCTGGGCTATTAAATTGGGTGAATACTCTTCATGAAAATAAAAACAGTGCAGGTGATTGTTATCCATTGAAGGAGGCAACATTTGATCCATGATACCTTCCCAACCTAATATTATACAAATCTGTTTCTTTTTATGTAAATGAGGGCTTTCATCTCTTTGTGTTTTGAAATCAAGGCAAGCTTTTATGAAAACAGGGCATTAATTTAGCTGACATTCCAACAAAAGCTTCACTGTTGACAAATAGCTCAATGATGAAACCAAGAAATAAGAAATGCATTGTAAGTCCAGTTCTAGGTTAGCATTACTGCAGAACCACAAGGTGAAGAGTCCATGACATGATGTACGTTCATTGTACCATGTAGAAAGGACAACTGACGTTGATGGCTGCTATATTTTGGGTATGCATGTAGGATGTTTCATTCATGACAAGATGTGAGCATGATAAACAGGCACAGTAAGTCACTACAAATATTTCTAGCAAAGCCGTTTGATTTATCGGGGCTTGAGTGTTAATTTTAAGCTTTCACTTGAGTCCACCCTTCTGATGAAGGACTTAAATCACATCGAGTCATTTGCTCGCGGTGACTCGAGTCAAGTCACTTACTCGTTGGGACTCAGGGTGAGTTGCCAGAAATTGTGGATCAAGTCGGACTCCAGTCGAGTCACTGACTCGAGTCATTACAACCCTGGTTCCACTGTTCCACCAAATATTCCATGTCTTTTCCAGGGCTAAAACGTGACAATTTCCATGACTTTTATTTTTCTAAGAAACATTGTTTGCTATGATGAATTGGCAGAATGCCGTAGCCACTAACACAGACTGACAAGGATGTATGATTTTCAGTCACATGATTTTTGATGGTCAGGGTTCAATTTACATAGATGTGCGTGACAAGGTGCGTGCCCTCGAAGTCTCTCAATATTCTGGCATAATGAAATTGCCAACAGAAATACACAGATTCGAAAATGCACACACCTCTGTGGACATGTTTCACTTCCTGAAATGCTTTTACCCATCCTGTTATGTCATCTGAAAAACCTCCATAGCCGGTAAATTTATTATTATTTTGACATCACATCAGAAGCCACCATTCAAAGAGAACCCTTGCACAAACTTGCTTTCCACGACTTTTCCTTGACTTTTTCTCCTCTAGCAACAGGAAGCCATGACACTATATTTTTCCCAATTTTCCATGACTTTTCAGGACAACTTTTGTCCCCAGGATTTACCCCATGTATGGGGACCCTGATTTCAGATCTGGCACATTCATCCACCACGAATGCTCTAAGATGTTCATTTCCTTTTGCATTGACATTTGTGAAAAGTATGCAAAAGCCAAGCCCTTGATAGAAATTACCATTGTTTGTGACAGAAACTATAAAAATTAACAGCTACTTGACAAATACCTCTTGATAGAAGGTAGCCCTTCTCATACATGTACCTACCTGTACAACGGATTCAACGCAATAATGTCTCGTACAGTTTTCACAACTTCAGCAGTCAGTGCCTGCATAGAACAGTTGCAATACACATGCACAATATTAAACACTACTTTCCCCCCCCCCGTCAAAAAATGACACTCACTCAGGATGCTGACATTTTACAAATTAAAGTTGCATTTTCCCTCTCTGGTGACTGGGCATTTGGAATTATTGCCTCAATGTTCTTTCTGCTTAAAGGGTACAAGTAGCTACTATACAATTTTAAAATACAAACTCTCAAAATGCACCTTTACATCTCGATTAACCTCATTGTCAATTATTGTTTCAGTATTAGAAAGTGATATTAGCCTGTCTTTTCGGTTTTCATGCTAATGAGTATTTCAATATTGTCATCAAGGAAAGGAATCTCAATGTTGCACAATTTGTGCAGAAAAACTGCTAAATTTTGTTAGATTTGGCTGGTCTCAAGTTTCTTTTCTTTGGTGACTTATGGTCGAATAAGTACAAAGCAATAGGCAAACATAGAATCCTTTCTCAGAAATGTTTTCATTAAGCTAATTTTGGGTTCATAATTTGAACAGGAAAACCCATGCATTGAAACCTGTCTTTCCTGAATGACATCCCATAAGTACATGTAACAGTGCCCTCAGTTGTCCGGGAAAGCAATGACATTTTTGGATGAGTTAAAAATTACATTTTTGCATTTAATTGAAAAGGAGGGTCAAATAATTTTCATTCACTGAAGATTATTGATTTGCAGAAAAATTGGCAAATGAAACTTCATTGCTGATACACTTAAAGATCTGTGGCAAACATATTTACATCATCTATTATCTCACTATAGACTAGCAACATCTTTATATTTTGGAAGTGCCATAGTAATGTTATGGCCTCTTGCTGTTTCATCAAGATTGCAAATAATTGACCTTGTTTTTATTTGCTTGGGGTGACAAGAGAACTGAATTAGTCCGGTTCCTGAACTATTATAGTTCTACATTTGTATAGCACCTTGATTTCTTCAGATGTCTTGAATGGATGATGTACAACATTCTCCACTTCTGCCATCAGCACCTGGTTGTCAGCCACTGTGCCCAAGGCATCTTCACTTCCCTCAGATTCTGAAATTACTTCTTCTCCTTTCTGTGACTGTTTGTCAGCAAAAATGTCAGCATTGTCCAAAACTGATGTCAACTTTATTCTGGGATGAAAAAGTGGAAAAAAAGTAGAGATGTACTTTATCACACAAATGGCAAAATGACCAACAACCAGCTGTAGTAAAGAAATTTTTCAGAGCTAGAGAAAGTTTACTTCGGTAATGTCTCTTCTATCATTCATGAGAAAAAAAAAATAAAAATACAGAGTTTTAGTTCATGTTTTGGCCCTCTTCAAAATTCCATCCATGTACATGTAAGTCCTTCCAAGTTTGATTTTTTGCCATATCTTCTGCCTGAATACATGGAATAAATGTTCTTACATAAATTAAGATGGTCTATCTTTGCATGGCATAAATACTCCAAGCAGACTGAAGCTTAGCTGCAGTAGACCACATGTATGTACATAAGTACATGTACATGTATGTGCGTACCTCCTATGTCCCATCACAATCATACGTAGCCTGTCACCCAAATCTTGCAGCTCATGGATCTGAACAAAAGTACCAAGGTTGTAGATGTTATCCAGGCTATCCACCACCTCTGAGTCTGGTTCTCTGTTGGCAATATCAAAACCAAGAGAAACACACAAATATTAAGTACACGAACAATTGATTTTCAGAAGACTGAGGGATACATGCACCGTACTTCATTTTCCAGTAAATAAAACGCTTAAATGAGAGAAAAGTTTGCATTACAGCAATTTTATCACTTTTTATAAATGTACACTTTTTTGGACCAAGAAAAGTTGAAAGTTCAAACTACTCGGTAAAGACGATAGTTACATGGTGTTTGAAATATTATAGGCTATATGTACGAGTTCACTTTTGCATTTCGTTTGTTTAATTTAACTCTTCTTGGTACATGTATTATACATGTACATGTGTACTCGGTCTTCAGTACTCGGACTCAGCCCAGTACTTGGCCGTGAGTGTAATCAAACTCAGTGCTTTGGACACAAACTCATCACCAGTGTACTTCTACTTGGCCCAGGACTCATCACCTGAAGTACTCGGAGTACTCTGTACTCAGGTTTGAGGACTCGACTTCAACGCTGCTTGATGCCTGAATCAAGTCCATGAATCAACAATCCGTGTAAGAGACACTGGATGTGTGACAGATAGGCCAAGAGGCAGTACATCTCAAATGATGACAGCCACTCAAGATTGGTACGTCATTGTAGAACACCTCCGTGACCGACGCCGCAATGCAGGAACTACAGCAAGGGCAATGACCAGGCTAATGAATTACAGGGTTAGTGCTTACTGTCAGAAATCAACTCAGCAAGGGCAACGACCAGGCTAATGAATTACAGGGTTAGTGCTTACTGTCAGAAATCAACTCAGCAAGGGCAACGACCAGGCAAATGAATTACAGGGTTTGTGCTTACTGTCAGAAATCAACTCAGCAAGGGCAACGACCAGGCTAATGAATTACAGGGTTAGTGCTTACTGTCAGAGATCAACTCTGTGCAGTAGGACTCTGGAGTAGACCCCCCTACGGGCATCTGAATGAAATTCTGGAGCCAGTAGTGAGGCCATTTCTGAATGGACACCCAAACAGATGCTGTTTCAACATGATAATGCGCAACTTCAGGCCACCGGAGTGATTACCCAATATCTTGAGGATAATCACATTGAACTCTTACCATTACATGGCCTGCCTTCAGTCCAGACCAAGCCCCATCGAGCATGTGTGGGATGAACTTGATTGGCACATCTGGTCACGTCCAGAGTAGAGTAGAACAAATCAAGAACTTGGGAGTGCGAATGGCCAAAAGGGGATTTTTTGTGGGTGGGGAAATGCAGGATCTTTTTATTCATTTTGGGGTCACGATTAATGGGGTAAACATTAAATTTATGATGTGTTTGAAATGGTTATGTATTTTTTGTTACTTTGAAATACTTCATATGAACTAAATGTTTTCAATTTCTGTTAACCTTTAATCAGTTTTCACTTGAACTCCATGATGATTTGTACATTTCTAGTTCAATAAGCTTCAAGTTACTTTTTTACCACGTGAATGTGTAAAAGGACCCTTGTTCAGAAAGCAAACTGAATTAAAGGGGTTTTGGCATGGTGAAGGATAATTATGAAACAAAATTGATGGTCAATTCTGGATGTACAGTACATGTACATGTAGCTAAACCAGTCAACTTACTGGTCATCTTTTCTCAGGAACAGTCCTGCATAGGGTTGAGCTAGACGCACCTTTCTTCTTATAAGCTCCATCAGTGGCTTGTTACTAATCTACAAATAAGAATTCAATTGTCAATGTATTTGTATTGCATCGTACATGTACATGAGAAGTATTCACATAAACGTACATACTGTAAATGGATCAACACCTGAACATGTACGTACATTTAACCAAGTACACAGTGTTTTCCTACCTCCTTTCTCAAAGGAAAAGTCACAGAAAACTACATTCAAATTTCAGTGAAAGTCTTAAAAAATTCGGGCAAGCTGGGGGAACAGAAACTTACATACATGTACTATACTAGTTTGTCTTAGGAATCTTGCTACATCAACCTTGATCACGGCAGTACTATTACCCAGATATTCTTTTTGTAGGTATCTTTAGAGGTCACATTGTATACATGTACAATGCAGTGTATTGTTGGTCATCTGTCATTTGCATCATCATGCTGAAAGAATATAGTTTTCTGATGCTTGACAAATGTTTAATGTGTTCATGCTGTTGTGAACATTTATCAAGCATATCTGTGCAATCTTTCCTGCACTCCTTACGTTCATCCAACATGCCCCCTTCTTTAAAAAAAAAAGAAAAAAAAAGTAAAACATCAACTTGGATCGATAAGTCCTTCATTAATGTGGTTCAAAGAAGGCACAATTGCAGAATACCCCGCCACTCAACTTGCCCACCTCGTAGCTGCGGATACGAAGTCACGCTTCCATCCACAAGGCCCACTTTGTATCCCCATATCTGCTCCCTGGAACCTACATTGGACTTAGAAAATTCTTCAACCTTCCCCATTCACTTTGCGTTGCAGGACACACAAGGCCCCCTTTGTATCCCTGTATTCGCGTAGCTGCTCCCCATGACCCACATTGGACTTAGAAAATTCTTCAACCTTCCCCATTCACTTTGTTGCAGGATGCACGAGACACACTTCGTATCCCTGTATCCACGTAGCCACTCCCCGGGACCCACATTGGACTTAGAAATATTTTAATCTTCCCCTAGTGAGTTGCATGTAATTTAAGTGAGTGCTTCGTTCTTGAAAATGATTTCAATACTGTACACAACACGTACCTTGACGCAGCAAAGATAGCTCGGAAGTTGAACAACCTCCACTCGACTACGTAACCATGAATTTTTAGGGGGTATTTTCGCGTGGCGGGGTATTTTGCAATTATTCCACGAAGAAAGAAATTACCTCAACTATTTTAATGAATTTTGGGAAAACTGGATTTCTCTGCACAGCAATGACAGGCAATGGCGTGAACACCTCAGGAACAGTCATTGGAGCTAAGGATACAACTGGCACAGCACTCGGAGACGAGGGGAAAGGGGGGACTTCCTTGCCCTCACTGCTACCTGTTCCTTGGCTATTCCCACTGCCATCTCCTCCACTGTCCTCTTCAATGCCAGAGTCTGAGGAATCGTCACGATTGTCCCCATCCTCTCCATCCTGTCCTGACCCTTCCTGGCCACTCCCCTTCCAAAAGTACCGCTTCTGCTGCATCAACACACTGGAAGTCAGCAAAGGGCTCCACTGGCCAAATCCCAATCCTACATGGCCCATCAACGAATGTCCTATCGAGGAAGTTGGCTCAGGAATGAGCAGCTTGGGCTTAGGCCTAAGCCTACATGTACCTGTAGGCCTAGGCCTACTTTGGAAAACTTGGCTTGACCGGTCACAACTGGTCAGTAATGATGATGATGTCCTAGCAAGTTTCTGCCTCCAGAGGGGATGCTCACTGCAGCAATTCAGACGCAATTTTCGGAAAGAAGTAACACTAAAACTATGCTTACATCCTACAACATCACTAAATCTTGTTCGCAAACATGGCAAAGCCGACAGACCTCCATGTACATGTAGACTACTTGCGATCGTGCACAAACGGTCCACGTGCGTTGTTGAAAAATGGCGGCTTAACTTAAACATCATTCTTCCTTTTCGGTATTTCTCGTAAGAACCCAGTGCTGACTGACACTGAAGATTTTCTTTCCCCAACACGTGCAACCCCTTTTTTTTATCAATACGATCATAAGAGACCAAAAAACTAAAAGAAGTGCCAGGCACGCACGTACGTTTGTGTTCACCAACACTAGGCCTAGGTTTACAATATGTAATGTATACAAGTCATGTCATCATGCATCAGCGATGAAGCGAGGACGCCCTCTATCGGTTATTTCAGTTGCATTTTTTCCGGCAGACACTGTCCACTAATAAAACTGTGGCTGCCGGTTTCATTACACCAAATACGCGCCCATAGAAAACAGTGCAAAATGAGACCGAAATAGCGCCGCCTGTTGACTTTCCTGAAGAGGTTGGCCTCCGTTTTTTCACTGGAAATTCAAGATTATGGCAAGATGACCCATTTTCGTTTCAATTTTATGGGGGTTAGCCACGGCAAAAAATTATTCGCCTTTCACCGAAGATATTATAAAATAGTAATGAATATGCGTTCTGAATGTAGCCACCCACCTCTATCCAAAATAGGCCCGCAATTTTTGGACCAGATGTATATCAGACGCCGATCAACAATAGTGTAACCAAAACTTTAAAACAATAGCAAAAACAGAGAATACAGAGATGGCCAATGCGATGTTCACACATCTCATTAGCGGGTATCTTAGGCGAAGGGGAATACATGCCCCCTCTCCCAGTTACGTCAGTATTCATAAAACGTATAAACCCAATAAGGGAACGGTGTCAGCCTGAATAATTCATTGGTAATATGTTTGACTAGAACGGAGTAGGCCTATGGGTTCTTTTTATGAAATGAGATTTTACCAAAGAAGTGCCAAGGATCAATATCCCTAATGCCCTGAATAACTTTTACAACTCAATATTATACTCAAACAAAAACCAGTATTTTTATTCACTCTCCAAGGTCCGACGACGTCGGTAAAATAAAAGAAAAAACTTCGTATGCGTGAAGACTGCGGACCGCGCATTGCGTGATCTCGTGCTCATTACATGCCAGCCTATAGAATATCTTGTCGCCCTGTTCTTGGGCACACTTGGGTCGAGTTCGGTCGGGCCTGTTGTTGACACAGGTTTCTTGTTCTCGCACTCGAACGGCAGGAACATGACCCAAGAACACTGTTCTCGGAACAGGATCACACACCACTTCCTCGTCAGGGTTTTACAGGAACACACGCAAAAACACGTGAGATTTTGATTTTTGAACAGCTGCAAAAAGTAGGGAGAAGGCTTTCAAAGCCATAGACAATGGGAAGTTTTGCAAATTAACATTAATTATTTTCCGTAACACAGAAATGAATGTTTCTGTTTACATAGAAAAGAATAAAGCCCATCCAAACATTAACTCTCGAATAACGTGACGCCGCCATGTCAAGTTGCATGTTACTTGTCACTAACTAGCAGCGATAACCGGTTGTTTGTTCCTGGCGTTCGAGCGGCCGACCCACGAACAACAAATCGAGCTGTTCGTGAACATACGGGAACAACCCCGGCGGAACAAGCCTCGGCGTAGTGTACGAGAATCCACCTGACCCCTCTATCCTCTCCGAAAGGAACAAAAGAGGGCGTGTTTTTTTGGTACGCACCGCATGCGCGTGCGTTTACAGTGGAGATCAGTAGCGCGTTTGACGCGAAGCACGCTGAGTACGCGTAACAAATTTATTCCTCAATGTAATACCATGGTATTTGTATGGTCTTTGCTTGCAAGAATCCGCTTGGAAAACTTACTACCATCTGTCTTTCTTTTGCCGCTTAAGACACCCTTCGAAAAGTGATAGTTCTCGAGGCTGCCCGTAACCATTTTTCAAATGGTTTTCCTCTACTTCTCCGGCACTGAGAACAGTTTGTCTTTTTCATCAGTAATATTAACTCTGCCTCAGTTGGAAGTCTCCATTTCCAGAGAGCTGATCTGTTGATCCTGGCCTGTATTTTCAAAATCGTTCCATTTTCTCTGCCAAACAAGTTCCTTTTTCGAAACGAACTGAGAGGGTCACTGTTGATACTACTGAGCTCAGCAGAAAATTATCAATTCTGTATTTCAAAAAGCCAAGGTCTTTCGGGAACAAATTGCGCGCCGAGTTAGCGCTACGTCGATAGGGTAGCCCTCCGAACCAGGTAATTGATCTCGACTCTGACGGGTTCTCGACTAATCAGAAGGCCTGATTTGGCCCCACATGACCCTCATTAACATAAAACGTGGAACAGGAATGTTCCTTTTCACACGGGGTGCTGGATAATTTTAGAGGGATAGGATTAAGGAACGTACCATTTTATGTATTTTTTTTGTGTGTGCGTTTAATTATGGTGAGCGATGTCATCTATACAGACTGACAGAACATATAATGGTCTAGGGATTTTTGAAATTTATTTTTACTTATTTCAATTACAACAACGATTGTAGGTAGGCGTATTGTACTCATAGAGGACTGTACATTTTCTCTAATATAAAATCACATTAAAATCGGATGGTTGATGACTGTCAAGTTCGAAACAAATAAAATAATACAAGAAAAGAATAGAGAAATATTATTTAAAATTAAAAATTAAGAAATACAGAACTAAGGATACAGAAATTCAGTTCAACTATAGTTGGTCTTTGGTACAAAAGTAAAGAACAATGTACGGTGTTAAAATCTGCTGCTATCAGAACACCGGATAATACATGTACTGTTAAATACTATATGAAAATACAACAGTCAATTTTGAGCAAATTTGAGGTATAATTGAAAACCAAACGAAAGATGATATTTCTGCAAACTTTGACCACCCATACAAATTATCATAAACACAATGAGAGTGGTCTGTTCTTACTTGAGTAAACACAATGCAATTATGTAACTGTCACCACTTGTCTCTCTTCTGAAAAGGGGGCTCGAGGATATACCTTCCGGAACAAGCTGAAATTAAATGATTGTCGGATCTACAAAATTTCTTCGATTAATGACTCCTTCATAACTTCCCCAGCATTTGAGGCACTAGTAGTGACGAGCCAGTTCGAACGATTATAGAAACCATGAACGATGTACATGGATGGATATCAGATGACTTTGCCCAAGAACGTGTCGCACTGCTGAACTTTGTCTATGTGGCACTGAGAATGGACTTTGAATTTTAAAAGTGACAAATCCTAATCACTGAAAATGAAACACAAGCTGTAATTAAATGTTGGGGTCATTTCTTCGAAAAGAGAAAAAGAACAACATTTTCTTAATTTTTGCGGAGAGGAAAATCTTTCTGGAGGGAAAATATCGCCAGCGCAATTTAAGCCATGAATCCTGCAAGCAGACTGTATGCACACGCTCTTATCTACCATACCATCGTGTGCTGCAATAGAGTTAATCTAATGAACGTGTTGGGCACGATCTGCCGATATGTGCGACAGCTTGATCTTTGCGCGATCTGTCACAGCACCGGTGGCTTATACGGTACGCCAGTGCGGCTAATACATACTGTTTCAATCTTTATTTGCTCATGATTTTTGCTTGGTGCGTCTTATACTCCGTTCTATGATTTGTCGTTAATGCCGCTTTCAGTCAATAACCCTTTCTTAATTCACCACGAATCGCGCAAACGTTCGGGCAATAGTGCAGATTATTATTATTATTACTGGTTAGGCCTGTAATTATTATTGGTTTATTTAACTATTGTGTCGTGGCAATAGGTCAAATTGTACATGATTTACAATAAAATTGACTTAAAAGAAAAAATACAGTATTAAAAACTGAATTTAAAATATTTCTGAGAAAAAGAAGATTTTATGAACCACTATCTAATGTTAAAATACATAAAAGACGCGGAGTGGAATATATAAAAACAATAGACATGACCTCAATGAGATGAAAGAGATATAATGCAACCGTACGCGTGTCACTGAACGATCGGACGCTTAACTAGAATTAATAAGATTGATATAATTTGGAATTGGGCTATTTCTAAATTGATTTGTTCCGACAAGTATCATGGAAATATCATTTGAATTACGAATATTCCTACCGTTGCTGGCAAATCGAGATTTACAACGTTCATGTTTCAAAAGGTCTTCAGCAAAATTAAAGTTATGAATTAAGGCTATGGTGATCGGCTGATCGCGCCCATCGAATGCACTGCACGTGAAAAACCCCTTCAGTGCACCGTGAACAGGCAAAAACGCGTCCATTAATGGCAACCAAACCGCACACGTTTAAGAAATTCACGTTTGCTTCTGGACAAACCTTTTAAAATTACAAAACAATTTGAATCATTATATTGGAGATACTCTGTAGGTTAACAAAAGGTATATTTGGTATATTATACTAAATATACTTGATTTGAACTGGACTGAAAATAAGGCCAATAACAAGAAACGCTATAATGGCAAACAACTTGACATGACAATTTCGGTGCAATTTTATGAAAGGCCTGCTTCTAGTTTTTTAGAAAACGGTCGGATGTTCATCCTCGCCTATAGAGCGAAAGTTGACCCCTGAGAGCGTGCTTCTGGAACCAAGTTGGATAGGAAAAATAACGTGCACAGATTTTAGAATTCGTAATATTTTTTCGTTCAGTTCTTCTCAAAAAATCAAACTTGGAAAAAGGGCTTTAAAAAATATTTGCTAGTATATCAATTTACAGAAACTGAAAAATTACCTGACCTAAAAGAGAAATATCCTGCCAAAAATTGACCCATTACTTCCGAAAATCTAAAATACATGGAAAACAGTACAATACGGCAATGTTGTACGCAGATGAATATTTACTGTTTTAAATTTTATGATAGTCTGTGGGTAAAAACCAAAATAAAAAAAGATCAAAATATTTGGACATTTTGATAATTTATAAAGTAATAAACATACGTTTTCCACACCCTTACCTTGCATAAGCTTCCTTTTTTTAGTAGGAGATCAACAATGTTAGCGATGCGTTGCGTTTTGGTTGCGTCATGCATGATCGTCGCGATTTACAAGCAGTTTTTGTATCTTTCCTCGAGCACGTGACCCTCCAGGCTAGACCGTACGTACGCGCTGCCGTGACATGTATATGTTCATGCCCCAAATAGACGACAACGTTCATTACAAGAGCGCATGCGTACTTCATTTTGAAGCCGACAACAACGGTTTTTGTGCGAACAGACGACTGACCTCGTAAAATACCAAAATATAGAAGCATAAATGCACACAATTTTCCTCCATTAGTAAGATTTTTAGATGACGATAAATCTCAGAACAGTATAAAAAGCGGATTTTACGGACCCTTTAACAAAGAACACAAAGTAACCCAGAAGTTGCAAAAATTGCACTGATTTCATCAATTAATTTTTAACAGAAACTAAGTTTTCTGAAACAAAAATCCAGCACCAAATTAAAGATTAACCCATTATGCATTGATTTCAGGCATTTATTTTTAATCCGCCGGATAAAATTTGCTAATAATTAGGTCCCCTTGAATCACACTAAAATTGTATCGATCCAACATTGCACGAAAAGTTTAGCCATTTTGTATTCATTTTTATCACAAAAATGGTATACCCAACACTGGGATGACGATTAGATTGTACCGATTTTGTTAGTACTGATACCATTTCATAAGGTAGAATCGTAAGAAATTAGTGACATTTCCTGTTCAGGACTTTCGCTGCTGTGTACGGACCAGTGCGGTACCGAGACGTCGAAGTCGTCGTGCCCGCCGCAGCACAATGTGCATGAACATGTACTGTACAGGTGATGCGTACACACTGCACTTGACCCGTGACTTGCCACAAGAACTTGTTACTCAATAGTCTACCCTTACAAGAGTACGGTGCAAGGGTATCCTCTTTATTGTCAAAAGTTTGACAAAGCAGTAATTCCTGACTCTAAGAATTAAGTTTTATTAGGACGTAAATGTTTTTAAATGTGATATGTGACTTATAATTCCATTACAAAATGTCTGGATTCACATGATTTAGCACGAAAATTTGGTTCAAATTCAACCTCATTTTACAAAAAAAAAATCAGGCGGATTCCAAGTTTTAGTGCAATCGATTAAGAACTAGAGTCTTCTAGTTTATACGAATCTAGTTTTTATAACCAGGAAAACTCATTTTTAATAGATATTGATCAAATTTGGCAACACTCAATAGTTTTTTGGGTTATTTAAAACCACAGTTTCCATTACTTTGTTTGAGACGGGGCACAAAATCAATACAACGAAAAAAATAAAACGATTAATGTGATTTGAATTTGTCTTGAAACATTTCATTATTCATGCTCCGTTTCCTGGAAATCCATTAACAAAGATGACACCTCATTTTTACAATCACGGCGCGCACGAAATCAGACATAGCCTGTTGCTATGCCGTTGTTACTTGCAAATCTTGCGCACGCGCTCTTCGGTAGTGAGCACCAAGAACATACATGGCATTCGATTATTACTTCCACGAGTTGATCCAGGTTTAATTAACATCGTGTTGCGCTTTTTTTGACGTGGGGCGCTGTGTCCTATCTTTTAATAGAGATCATTGTGTTATACAAATATCTTGGGCGAGATTTTTTTAAGTTGGTGCTTGGATCCCGTAACCTTCCGGATTTAGAAGTGGAAAAAATATAAAAACAATTTGAGAAGTCTCAGATACGCCAACCAATCGTTTTACTAAAAATTAGTGTAAAAAAACCGACGGCGAAGTCCCCGATTTGCTGGCTAGTGCATTGGAAATACACGGCGACACGCTGAAAATAGACTTGGCCGTTCAATGCTCTGGAAACTGTTCCGTTTTGGACATTCCACTCATGATGAATTCTGTTCTCAAGGCTTTTTCCGACCTACAAGCACAAAGTTGTGAAATTGGAAGACGGGCCTGGAAAAAAGTTATGTTGATATGACGAGACTCATTCCCGATCCTCCGCACGGTTGCCAGGCCAAGCTAGGCCTAGGGCAGAGCTTCACCATTACATTCACTGGTACCGTCTCCAGTTTGCATAACAGAGAGACCGGGAACCAGTCTATTGTGACTGTCGCGCGTGCTGTACATACAATGCGCGCTCATGTGTGACAGGGACTTTCGACGTGTCAAAGCGGAAGCGCCACAAACGCCGTGGCGGCGGCGTGTATTGTGTCCCAAAGTGACGGTAAGGGGATACCTCTTTGTTTGTAAGAATTTGTTTAATTCTCTTTTTTTAAAACTCTTGCCCGTAGCTCAGCGTGCGGCATTACCATGACACAAACTGTATACTACCTACTGAAACCGTGATATGGGCCGGGTACTCTGCATGATCAGTGCAGACATTCTTAATTATCACTGACTGTACCATTCATATGGAGGTAGACTGTACATGGAGGTATGGCTGTAGTCTTGTGAGTCAAATGCATTGTATGTAGTCCGGGTTGGCGCGTGTGAGTTGTATATGCCATTTATCATGGGCAGAGTCTGAAGTCAAAAGTTGAAATCGAGAAATGAAGTGACGTGACATACGTACAGTACATAGCGAGAGGGTTTGTTGTCTAGGAGTGTGTGAATGGAAGGGTCAAATAAATAAATTGATTTGATGTAATGAAGTAATGAATGCTTATATGAGTGGTAACTTAGAGAAATTCCCAAGCTAACATATTAAATGGTCTAACGTGTAGAATTGGTTTTGCTAGGGGATCAGCACTGATGAAAAAAGTTAATTAGACACTGCAACCTGTGTAACGCATTCCCTGTTGTAGCCGATGGTAACACCCAAGGACGCGTACAATGTCAACGCAGTGTCAAATTAATGCAAGTGACCCTCGCATAAATTCCTATCAAGTCGGTGCTGGCACAAGGTTCATGGCTGAGTGGCATGTACATGTATCTTTAATTTTCAAGGATAAGCAGTATTTATTAGGTGGTATTTGAGTAAAGGTGCAGGCCAGCAAAATGCTCTGCCCTAAATAAAGGGACCCTCTACATGTATGTGGGCCACGGTCTGGATCTGGATCTTCTGAAGTGTTCAGAACATTTGCCCACAGATGATTTTGTAAATGCCACTTCTTTCGTATGGTTTTCGTTCCTTAATCGATCGACCTACTAATTTAACCCCGCACACTCTCATAGACACCATACTAACAAACAATGATCAAACTGATATCCATGCAGGTGTACTCAGTGCAGACATCTCTGTTCATTTGCCTCTGTTTCAAATTACTCCTTGTTTTCCTCAAAACTCCCGCTCTGGGTCACGGACTTGCATGACAAGAAATACTAATAATCGTAGTCTTTGTTCTTTCATTGCAGATATTGAGTCCATGGATTGGACCCAGGTTTTTTAGTGCCAGTAAGCTGATCTTGCTTTACGATTTTTCTATGGCACATTTTGTTTGCTTATATAATCACCACTCTCCATTTGTCATCAACAGGAGAGCTAATAATAAGACTATAGACAACCCTGGATTACCAGTGCCATATCATCAGCTCCTGTAAGCATAAAAACAGGCTCTACAAGCGATTCTTAAGAAATCCATCATCGGCTAATTAGCTTCTTTACAAAAATTGTTTGTAATCATCAAACCGCAGTTATTCGTCTTGTCAAGACAAAGTTTTATGCTTGCAAGTTCGACCAGTGCAAATCTAACATCAAAGAAACTTGGGAAGAGATTAACAGAATCCTCAACAAAGGTAAAAATACAGATAATCAAGAGAAATGTACAGATAGAAAAAACATATTTTCCAATTTCAGTGATATTACCAACACCTTCAATTCGTATTTTAATAACATTGGCACTGCACTTGCAAACAAAATTCCTAAAACTAATTTGCACTTCAACGATATCTTCACGAACTTCATTCCTCTTCTTTTTTTCCTCAGCCCAACAACTTCAGCTGAAATTATTGACATCAGTAAATCACTTCGAAGCAATACCAGCTGCAGCCTTGATGACATTCGTTCCTCTCTTCTTAAAAAAGTCATTACATTTGTTGCTGAACCTCTTGCTGACATATTTAATCGGTCTCTTTCTTCAGGCAGTGTCCCCTTAAACCTGATTGTTGCCAAAGTCACACCTTAATGGCAACTCTGAGGACATCCATAACTATCGTTCTATTTCTGCTCTACCGTCTTTCTCTAAAATTCTTGATCGGATAGTTCACAGTCGACTAAAAATTTCTGTCTCCCATTAATATTCTTTTCAATCAGCAGTTCGCTTTTCGCTCACATTATTCCACAGACATGGCTCTTACTCATCTCACCGACCTTATTTCCAATTCCATGTCAAACTCTCTACTGCAGGTATTTTCATCGATCTTTCAAAGGCATTTGAGACAATTGATCAAAGCATACTCCTTTCTAAACCTAACTACTGTGGAATTAGAAGACATGCCCTAAAGTGGTTTGAGAGCTACTTGACTGACGAAAAACAATTTACTGTGGTTCATAAAACACCGTCTGATAGAAGTAACATCACGCACGGAGTGCCCCAAGGATCTATACTTGGCCCCCTTCTTTTCCTGCTGTACTTTAACGATCTGAGTAACTCCTCTTTTGATCTTTCCTTTCTGTTGTTTGCAGATGATACTACTATCATCTATTCTAATCCAAATCTGCAGTCTCTGATTCGTATATTCTTAACAGTGAACTTTTAAAGTTTCTTCTTGGTTCAGAGCGAACAAACTGTCCCTTTATACCATCAAGGCTAACTGTTTGTTTTTTCGTAGAGATTCAAGCTTTTTAGATGCTGTGCCCTCTATTTACATTGATGGCAATGCAATACCGAGTACCCGCAGTAGTAAGTTCTTGGGCGTTGTGCTTAATAATCGCCCGTAATAGTCCGTTGTCATACAATTTTAGTCATATACTTTGAATTACTTATCTCATCGTTTGGTAATTGTGATTGTCTCAGTAATTTATTTGGGCATGTTTATATTTGCCTAATGTCTCGTGATTCATCTACAATTTATTTCTTCACATTATCTCTGCCAATTAACTGTTTTCATTGCCTTATATTGCATGCGATTGTAATGAACTTGCTGTTTATTGGCTTATGTAATAACTACTGCGTTGCTCTTCACTTTCTTTGTCTCTTAATTTTTCTTCTTTGACTAGTCGCATGAGTTCATTTTACATGGCTTCATCTATTTTTCCATCCGTCGATGCTCACTTTCATCCCATGTACATTGTATTTTTATTTGTCCAATTGTAATTTTGTCACTGTTAAATGTTCTGTTTTAGCTTTTTTCAAGGCATCTCCATATCAGCCCTTGGCTTCAGAAGATGCCCCTTAATTTCCAATGACTTCATTGATTCTTGTCCCCAATCTATCGAAGCGTATAATATTAACTACATGTATATATAATTTATTCTGTTATTGTATTGGAATTTTTCGGCATTATGGAAATAAATGTTGCTTGATTGAAGTTACAAAATCAATTTGGGCCTCCAAGCTTACAAAAAGGATGGCTATTTTAACTCTGTCCAGCAAGAAAATTACTACAGTAAGTCCGAATGAAACAAGTATGTAGTATTGTTTCAACTGGGTCCCGGTCTCATGAAAAAAATAAATGGACAAAATCCCCAAAACTAAACACTAAAAATAAAGATGGACTCACATGGATTGATGAAAAAGGCTGACGGAAGTGTCCCCAGCCGCAGTGATGTTAAAATTGCCGCACCCATTTCAGGGCCATGGGCCTTTATATTAGGTACAAAATTCTATTTACTCGGTTTTCATGCCCGTCATGATATAGTTCTTCTCCAACATACAACACTGATTTACTCGGCTCATTACTAACCCTCTAGGCGAAGAGATCATCTAATGCTTCCCTACTTGTTGTCCCCAAAACACATAAATCTTGGGGGATAGATCTTTCTCTCATGGTGGCACACATCTGTGGAACAAATTACCCCTTACGGGGACGGAGTTCTTACAGCTGCTGCCAATCATCTAAACCTTGTGCATGTTGTTGCCCTTGAACATGTAGACCTTGAACTCTTGTGGTTAGAAATAACTACTAACCATGTTAAAATTCTTTTTGGTTGTATGTTTCGACCTTCTAACTCTCCAGCTCAGTTCTTTACTGACTATCAAAATGTTCTCGATTCTGTATTTTACCGGTGCCATAAATATTTTGCCATCTTTGTGGTTGGTGACTTTACTATTAATTTTGGCCCTTCTGTAATCCGTGGGTCAATAGATCAGGTCCAACGTGCTTCCAATATTTTAAATTTTCATCAAATGGTTAACCTGGTCACACGTAGGCATTCTTCTGACAACACTAAGGGGTCCACCCTTGACCTGATTTATACTGATACTGATAATAGACCTGATATCGCCAGTCGTGTTTCTTCTCTGCCTGGTTTTGGCCTTAGCGATCACAGTGGAGTGTTATTTGATTGATCAACCACCTTTGACAGTAAATCCTTGAACCGTACTTTTTATCAGTACGACAAAGCTGACCAAACTGCCCTGTGTGATACGCTTGATCAGGTGCATTGGGTCACATATTTGTCGCCTGACTTAGGTATTGACCAAATATGGGATAACTTTAAAGATTTACCTTTTGCAGCTGTCCATGATGTTGTTCCATTGGCAAGGCAAAAAGGTGAAAGGCGGCGGCCTTGGATCACTTGTGAAGTAGTTATCCTTACTAGAAAAAACATGGGCTTACAAAGTGGCCGCGCGAGAAATAGTAATTATTTCCATCTCTGGCTTAAGTATAAAAACTACGTAACAAGGTTATATATGCCATCAGGAAAGCTTACAGTCATTATTTAAAGGATTTGGCCGACGACTGTAAAACTAATCCTAAGCGATTCTGGTCGTTTGTAAGCTTAAATCGTAAAAAAATCGTCTGTCGCTTGTCCTCACATTGAAGGGAAAACTATAACTGATTCTGTGACTATTGCTACTGAATTTAATCGCAGTTTTCAACTGGATTTTAATAATGACAATAACTCTTTTGTTCCTGTTCTGTGTAGTCACACCTGTAATCAGTTTGAAGTCAAGAAACTTTTGGAAACGTTCAAGTTCACAAATCATCTGGGATTGACAACATTTCGCCTAAGCATCTTAAATTGGCTGCCAAAAGTTTAGCTTATCCCTTGACCAAGATTTTAACTCTGTTGTTCCTGTTCATAAAACTGGGTCTTCTCACAACCCGTCTAATTATAGATCAATTTCTCTTTGTTCCGTAGTTAGTAAATGTCTTGAAAAAATGGTTTCTAAACATCTCACTGATCACATGTACAGAGGTGGTATCATATCCGACTGTCAGCATGGTTTTCTTCCAAAAAGATCTTGTATTACTCAACTGACGACTGTTTATCATGATTGGGCGAAAACATTAGATACCCCTGTAGTCCAGACAAGAAGCGCAACTCCACATCACTACGATACAAGGAGGATCTTCTAGGCCTAATGGTTGCTTCAGTATAATTATTTTATTGGCCGTACAGGAACAACGACAACATTCTGGAAACACAGAAACAGAAAGAGGGCTTAATTAGCAATCTAACTCGAAACAATAAATTTCAAACTATTCACTTTCCCTACACTCTAAAAACTTCCGGGTCAGATTGACCCAGAATTGGGTCCCATTCGGTATGACCCTTTTTCTGGGTCAAAATATGACCCCCTTTCGGGTCATATTTCACCCTTTCTGGGTCATAATTTGACCAGGAAAAGGGTAATGCCGAATGGGACTCAATTCTGGGTCAGTCTGATCCGGGAGTTTTTAGAGTGTAGTGAAGAGATTAACATAAATTGACATTCTACTGGAATATGGTCAACGACGTCCAATACTACTGAACTAGTCGCTAAACCAGATATCGCCGTAGGCCCCTAATTAGAATAAAGCTGAAACTAGAATTACTGGACCGGTCATGAATAAAACAAACAGAAGGCAGAGTAAAAATCAAACCATTGACATGTGAGAAAATTGAGTCAAATTTGTCTAATGTATCGAATGTACAAACCAGGAATAAATATTTTACGGATAGCCAGACTAAGAGATATCTAGTAAATTGAAAGCAAATCTACATTCATTTTTACATTAGCAATCACTGATGCAATCTTATCGTATCGTACATTAAATCTGTGTAATTCCAATCTTAAATAAAATCATTCCTTTCAATTGTTCTACAAATGTATTTACCTGCAGGTTTTCTTTTTCCGGGCTTGTACCGTAATGCACAGGATACAACGGAATGATTAAAAAATGCGCGCCGTTACGCAGCAGTCCAGCTGTTATTCAAACCGCCCTAATCCACCTAGAATCGATGTCATACACTTGGACTGGTCGAAGGCCTTTGATCGTGTAAGTCACTAGTGTCCTCCTGTAAAAGTTGCACAAATAAAGTATTTGTACTTTATGTGGTTCTGTTTTGCAGTCTTACCCACAGGGACGTCAGCAACGAGTACAGTTTTGTGAGTCATACTCTGATTGGGTTTCAGTTCCCTTTGGGGTCCCTCAGGGGTCTGTTTTGGGCCCACGCTTCAATATTTTTGCCTTTGATTTACCTTTTTGTGTAAAGTCAAGTTTAAGGCAGTATGCGGACGACACTGTGATATATAGGACCATCTCTAACAAGTATGACGAGCTCATATTACAAAATGATCTATGCAGTATAGTTACCTAATCTTAATTGTATGAAGCTTAATACCGATAAATGTAAACTGATGTCCATCACTCGCTCCAGAATCCTTCAAAGATCCACATATCAGATTGACTCTCGAAACTTGGATCTTGTCGATCAGTAAAAATATCTTGGGGTGGTTATCTCCAGAGATCTTTCTTGGACTCATCATGTAAATTCAGTTGTCTCAAAAGCTACTAAGATGTCTGGTCTTACCAGAAGACTGGTTAACTGTAAAGATCTTTATATTCTTGTCACACTTTACTGCTCTCTTGTCAGACCTAGTCTTGAGTATGCTGCCCCAGTTTTGTACTCAAGTTCTCTTTCTCAACGAAAATCATTGGAAAGAGTTCAAAGGCGATTTACTCGTTCCTGTTTGGGCCTCCCAAGACGTCATTTGCCAAATTCCAGCAATGATAATATAGAGAGTACTCGACCCATTGTTCCAAGCTGGGTCTGTCCTACTTAACGAATCGGCTAAACTTTTTGGCAGTCGTGTTTGTAGCAAAATGCTTCTAGAACAAATTCGACATTGAATCAGAGAGCTATATCAATCTCAATTCTAGAGCAAAACGTCACAGATGCCTAACGAAAGTCGCGAAAGCGCTTAACCAGTGACCAAATCTGAAACACGTTTATGGTTCAGGTCGCCCAAACGCCCTAGTACTGGGGCAGTGTACTGTTGTTTGAAGCTGGACATAATTTTGATGAGTGTGTAGCTCTTGGAAGCTTGGAATCAAGACAGTTAGATTACTGACAATGAAAAGCAAAGATTTCCAAGCCACGGTTTTTTTCAGGAGGTCTTTAATGGGACATACTTCTACAAGGCTGCCTTTAGCAGTCCCCGCATGGAATGAAAATAAAGCCCCAGATGATCTCCCCAAGAAAGGCATAACTGAAACGTAAAGTTTGCGGATTATACCTGCCTAGTGGTTGTCAGATGTCCAAGTCAGGTGGTGGAGTCAGAGTCTGTGGCAACTACAAGCTTTATACCGTTAATGCAATCTTGAACCTAGAGCAGTACCTATACCGACTCTTGATGATCTTCTTCAAACAGTAGAAGGCCAAAAATTCAGTAACCGAAACTTGTCTGCCATCAAAAGGGGCTAGATTTAACATTATCCATACGCACACTTTACCCATACACAAGGCTACCGTTTGGAATATCCAGTATCTTGGCCCCATTTTAGAGGACAAGGATTAGAATGTTGGTAAACATTCTAATGTGCTTGCTGCACTTCAATGACATCATTTCTTGAACGATGAGAGATATCTGGCCAATTTTGAAGCTTTGTTGTCCAGATTGAAAGATCCAGACTGGACTGCGTGTCAAGCAGGAAAATGTGCACTCCTATCCTTAACCCTCTATTGCGTACCTGGTTTGCAGCTTAGACTAGGACGGAATTGCATGGAGTCCGTTGCCACAGAGGCTTCATACCAGCCAGAAGGCACAGATGCCTAAACCAAACACAGCCGCAAGTGTATCTAGGACTCCTAGGTTACTACCATAAATTCATCGCCAACTCGACAGAGGAGATTGTGTCAATAACACAACTGTAGGTAGAAAATGCGTGAGCATGACCGAAATACAAGAAGAAAAGCTATCCAGGAAAGCCAGACCCAAGGTCCAAAAAGGGGACCAGAAGGCTAATGAGAAGTTGAAGAAACTTGTGTACAGTGTAGCGTCCTAATAAATTATGACACGTCGAAGCCGCTTCCACTGCAGATAGATGGCAGCCCCAATGGGCTAGGATCAGTGATCTAGGACCTGACAGCCTTAGACTCAAGGACTCTTATAGTTTTGCCCCAAGACTGGTTTTACTGTTTTTGTCGGTGCACCGTGCAGGCGACATAATAATGCGCGTACGCACTGCTGAAGACCGCGCGCCATGCAGACTGAGATTATTGGCAGTGCGCATGCGCAATTATTCATAATAATTTGCGCGCGTAAGGTTCTTTGGCAGGTCGTCTCTTGTGAATATAGCGCCCTCTACTGGTACTGCTATCCTGCTGGGCTTGCCAGAGCATGTTGCCATTACAACAATCAAATTTATAATACCGTCTCAGCTCATAAAGCTCAATTTTGGTGAATAAACACGATTATTGTGTTGAGCCCAGAATTTGGGAAGAGGATTGTTGCTGGCATGGAAAATGACGGAGTTGGGAGTTTGGTCTGTATTTGCCAGACTCAACGGTCGATTAGGATTAGTTTGTCCGTTAGCAGGATTGGGACTGAATTTCCGACTTCTACGTATAAGGGTAACACCGCTAAATGCAGGTTTTGAGCTTGATCTTTGCTGGCTCTGCCTATCGACACCCACTCACCAATTTTCACCTCATCTCCCTCGCCAGTCAGAAACTCGTCTCTCACACTCACTCAGATCTTCTGGCTAGGGCCTATAGCGCGATTCATTCTCGACGCAAAGGTATCATTCTAATGGAAGTGCGACGGTATAAACAAAGAATCGCGTTTTGTGACCACAGCTATGGCTGGTACCATATAGCAACTTACAGACGGCTTACAGAGGGCTTGAGGATGCTCGTTCACGGACCCGCCTAACACTATGTATTGTGTAGGATTCATGTATATGGCTACAGTTCGTTTTTGAGGAGAAACATCGCGGACTGGATGAGAACTTTTAGACGGCTCTATATTCGGCTCTATGTCTCCATAGTCGCAGGGATTGAAGTTGGAAAAAAAGACAGATGAGCGTGCATGAAGTTCGCACACAATATCCGTTGGTACAATGTTTTATGTAACAGCGAGAAGGAATCACTTCAGAACTGCATGGCACTCAACTGAGAGTATTTAAGATGAAAGCTCTATCCTGATCATATGTGTGTTGATCTGGAATAGACCAAAACGTGCCCAACTTGCCAAGAATGCGTCTATAGTCCACAAGGAGCCTCTATCCACTCAAATGAATTTCCAGACAAACCATTGTGTAGGTTTCATATTTACAACGCTAAAACATCGACAGAATGTATTGATACGGTAGTTGTAGATTCCGTATAATATTGCACACGCCCTCTCCTACGAACAAAGTTGGCAGGAACTTAATCTCCCACCCATCTACAACAGGTTAATCTACTTGAGCATGGCTATGGTTGTGAAATGCCTTCACAGACACGTGGCTGTCCCTTCAACCCTCCTTCCCCAGCCAAATGCAAGGAAAACTGATGTCTTACTCTTCAGTCACAAGTGTAGTCGGACCAACTGCCTTAAATATTCTCTGTTTGTTTCTTTCTGCAGGTTGTTCAACACTCTTCCTTCTAGCCTCCAGAATTTGTGTCTTCTACCCTCTCAAAATGAATTTTCCCGCTCGTTACGTGACCACTTGTTTATAAACCCAGAACCCATCTCTCAGGCTTTCTAATCATGTATTTATCCCTTTGTTGGTTTTTAGTACAATGAAGTGTTGTTCTTTTTATATTTTTAACACGTATACTGTATGTATCGGAAATTATGCAAATGAAATTCGAATAACTTGTTCTATCAGTTAACTTATCCAATTTAATTTGGTTAATTTAACTTTATTTATTTATGTCACTTAGTATGTGTTTTGTATTTCAATTAGTCTGGAGAGCCCCTTTGACAGAATTCATTTCTTTTGGTCGATCCTTTGGGAGCTGATTGGAATTTTGAATGTTAGTCATTGAAACTGTTTCTTACTTTGTTTACCAAGAAGTTATTGTCCTCGTAACCTGTTTTTTCCCCGAGAAATCAATGAAATGAAATGAAATGATACAACTACATTGTTTAACAAGCGGATTGAGGCCATCGGAGGGACCAGTTCAATTGCAGCTAACGCAGTCAATTCCATAAGACGTTGTTTTGAAACTCGTGTTTTCCGGATACTGTCGTTACAGATATCGTTTACCAAGTTCATATCAACAGAGTTTCAGCAGTTTTTGAATAATAGTATAGAGTAAAATACGTCCAAAGCACCCTGCTAGCAATGGTCAAGCTGAACTAATGAGAGTAGCGCTCAAAGTTAGGAGAGGAGTAAAGGAAACCAGTCGTGGCTGATTGAAAATATGATCCCTACGGATCACCCACTGATTATACCGGGAATATCCCCTACTTTACTTTACAGGCCAAACAGTACCGGTAATATACTGTAAAATTAACTACAGTAATTTTACAACAAATTACTGTCATTTATTGGACAGTATTTAACTGTAAAAACAACAGTAATTAATCTCGGTTAATTTGCATTAGATATTATTCACTGCAAATCACCATTTTCATTGATTACGGATTCAAACGACGTGTGTGTATTATTCAGGTATAAGTCGTGTTGATAACGGATTAATCAAATTTAACGTGTAAGTTCCAATAAAATTACTTATAAGGTACATGTACGTGTACCTCGTATCCAGAAGTCTTGACCGCGCCGTCCTTCAATTACGTTCTTGTAATGCACTTACACGGTGCGTATTTTATATATGCATTGGCTGGACCCTCTGAAGTAGTCGTGGTTGGTAAAGTTGTGCCCAAAATTATTCCTACCATTTGGAAAATAAAATAGCTTGACCTTTGTTCTTGATGACTGTGTCAAGACGGTTCCCATAAGTGTCAACAAGCTTTCTGCATGTCTCCTGTGGGATCTTTGCCCACTCTTCCTCTGCAAAAGCCTCCTGCTGGGCCAGGATGGATGGTATCCTGGCCACAACCTTTGGTCTTCAGCTCCCTCCACATATTCTCTAATGGATGTTGGTCAGGATTTTGACTTGGCCATTCCATTACATGGACACCATTGTCCTTGAACCACTGCTTTACTACCTTAGCGGTGTGCTTGGGTCCTGTTTGAACGTCCAGTCAGGTCCAAGCTGGAGTTTCTCATCAGACACTTTCACTTTGTTATCAAGGATCTTGACATAATCCTCCTTTTTCATGATGCCCTGGATCTTGGTTCCCAGTGCCACTAGCAGAGAAGCATCCCCATAGCATTATGTTGCCACCACCGTGCTTTAAGGTGGGGACTGTGTTCTTCAGCTTGTATGCTTCTCCTTGCTTCCTATAGACGTAGGCAATATCCTTGGGGCAAATCCATTTTTGTGTCATCAGACCACGGGACCAATGACCAAAAGATAGGATCTTGTTTCAGATGTGCTCTAGCAAATGACACGAGCTTCCTTATGTTTCTTCCTGAGTAGTGGGGTCTTCCTGGACCTGCGTCTGTGGAGACCTCGTTTGTGCAATACTCACTGGATGGTTGCCCGTGACACCTTCGTCCCTGCCTTGTCAAGGGTATCAATTAGGGCCTTCGTTGTGATCCATAGGTTATTGTTGGCCTCCCGGAAGATTTTCAGGTTAGTCCAGGAGATAATTTGCACTTCCTGCCACGCCCATTGAGGTTTTTCGCTGTGCTGAACCTCGTATGCTTCCTGATGATACTCTGAACTGTTGCAACAGGGACCTCATATTGCTTGGAAATTGCCTTGTAGCTTTTGCCTTCTTTATGGGCATTCACGATACGCTGGCGTATATCTTCACTGAGTTCCTTCTTGTTGGTCATAGTGACGAGTAACTGAGAATAATCGGAAAACTTCTCTTCTTTCATACTCTTTGGGGGAGATGGCATTTAATCAGAATGTTGAACACAGAGTCATCAAAAGAAGATATAAATTCTATTGGAACATCTTGAAATAGCTTTCTGCCAAAGATTCTTGCAGTCACAGAACATGAAAATTAGCAGTATGAATGAAAAGATATTTTTCTTGGGATTTTGTCGGGGTAGGAATAATTTTAACCAGGAGCAAAACATTTTGATTTTAGAAAAGTATGTTATTTTCCAAAGGGTATGAAACATTTAGAATACAACTGAACATTAAAAGTAAGATTTTTTATTTCCACTTTTTTTCTTTAGGCAATGGATGACATCTGTATGTAAACTAGATCCGAACAGCACACACATTTGTAATAATAATGCCAAGAGCTTGCGACTCATAGCCAAAAAATAAAGTTCGCCTTCTTATCATGAGCTGTTTATGCCGACGACGTGGACTTTGTTGCAAAACACTTTAGTGGTGTATTGGATTTTGAACTTTGAGTCAATGGTACCGTATTTTACCATCTTTCCAATATCTGTTCTCGGTTTCCTTAACAGTGTTCAATAAATCTACAGTGTCCTTATTCTTCAGTCCTTCATCATGGCTGCAGCAGATGAATTTGATGTTTGCATTGTTGGAGCAGGTTTGTGGGGCAGTGCAGCTGCCAAATATTGCTCTGCACGCCTTGGCAATTCAGTATGTCTCATTGGGCCCAGCGAGCCAACCACGAAACAGGTAGTAATGTTCAGTCACTAGACAAACATGTTCATGAATAAAGGTATCAGTCCAACCTATTTATGTTAGTTCTCGATATAAAAATGCTATGAACATGCAGCTGAACCATACGCCATTAATGTCCAAATTGTGCATAAAAGACATTACCTTTGACTATAAAAAAATACTTGGAGTGTACCTTGAGATTTACGTGCTAAATATTGAAAAAGGGAATCATCTGGGGGTTGATGATTCCCGCACTTAATTGCACAGCAACAGATAAAAATCTGTTGGTTCTAGGGAATATCTGTTAATAACCTTAAGATGTTAGAACCTTAATCTGTTAAAAACCTCTCACTTTGGGAAAATCTGTGCAAATCCTTTCCGACTTATGGAAAAAATGTGAAACTCTTTTCGTACTTTTGCAAAAGTTTTCACGGTTTATTGAATTAAAAATGCAATGTACGGTAGTTGTCTCTCCACACACTTGTCACATTAATCAATATTATTTTTTCAAACATGTAAAGGGAACATGCATTATTGTTGTTGAAAGCCAGTGATAACAGAGTTTTGAAAATACGTGTTTTTATAAACACGAATCACCTTGTTTTGAAAGGATTACGACAGCCGGTTTGTTTTTGGTGCACATTATGATGAGGGCCGTGCAGTTGGAGCAATCAGTAGCACGTTCGAGTGGGGAGAACTTGCAAGGCGGTCAGCTGGAAACTTCAGTAACATTGAACAAGAAACAGGTAAGAATTGAATGTGCATGGAAGCAATAACTTTGATAATAGAGTAGAATGTTTGACAGGAATGCCTCTAATCTATGTAAATTGAAGATAATGTTTTGATTGTTCGTTAGAATATTAGATTCACTTTACAGGAGTACAGGCTACATAAAGAACCGTGCTTTGAGACATGCATAATAAGCAAAAACATGTATTGCGGAAAGTTTTTTTTAAAGCTGGTATGAATTTCACAAGGACGTCGATGTAGTACAGATTTTATTACAGACAGAATAACTATACCTCCCCATTTAAGTGTTTGTTACAAAATAAACATTTTAGATATATACGTTATGTGGGAACATAGCATGGGGAAGTCGGAACATGGTTTGCACGTACTTAGGTGTACTCTAACGAAGTAAACTATTTGTCTTCAAGTGAAAAGATAGCACGTAAAAACGAAATAAATATGCAAAGAAAAATGAAAAAAGTTCTATAAATATCCCATAAATGTATTAAGATTTGTTTGCCATTAAATATACGAGGGGAAAGATGATAACCATTACCTAGGAGTACTTTTTATGAGGTGAGTTTCCCCTTCAGAAATCTTGGAAATTGGGATTACATTGTTCATCTTTGCTGCAGAGAAGTTGGCGTTATCTGCTAAAATCTATCACCGCTGCATGTGGCCACTCCAGTTACCAACATACAACCGTAAACCGTTTGTTAGGCATTCCGCTCTGGGTTAACTGACAACTACATAGATTTAAGATTTGCATCAATTCGGGTGTTTCTGCACCAGTTTCAGCTATTAAAACTGCGAAATGTGGTTTACAAACTTCACAAATGCATATGCAATATTTAAAGTTGGCATCTGTGGAGAAAACTATAAGCATAACCCACACACTGTAAGATCAAGTGGTATAGTAACTGGCGCTGATGGGGTTTGACTCTTAACCGCAACAACATGTCCTTAGGAATATTACATTGGACGATGAGAGATACTGGCAATCCTGGTGTGGCCTGGGCTAAATGAGAATTCATGGCATGGTACAGTTTATATGTCTTTCTTTGTCTATTAAATTTTAAATCGAGTGAAAGTTTTACTTCTTTCTTTTACAGTATGTAAAATAAACAACCCCATCTCTAAGTTTATCAGTTTGTAAAAACCAATTCAAATTAGTGTGAACTAATTTGAAGTCCTCTTAGGCCTTATGTACGTTCCTTTCTTGGTTTTTAAGCTTAACCACAGAGACAATAACGTGTTTTAATATTAGTACAACTGACGTACGCGTGGGTCTACGTTTATTATGTGCTGCATGCAACTAATTTTGTGGTGCACAAAAATTGAAAATAGATTAGAATCTTGATCCAAAATGTAATAGCATTGAGTGTAACTTGCCTTCACAGGGCAGAGGGCGATCATTGAATTGTTTTTCCAACTAGCCCTAGTGGCCTTGTGACTTTTGTAACGCTACTGTACTAGAATAACAACTTTTAAACCAAACTTTTAGCTCAGTGATAGGGTCTAAAATATAACTTTATAAACATCATAAATTTTAGAAAGTGATGTTTTGAGTGCTGAAAAAGATTTATTCAGAAGGTGAAAAAACAAATTTCTTTCCCTGTTCAGAACTATTGTGGCACTGGTACTGTGAGCATTTGGTAGATTGCTGTTGCTGATTGTAACCGATGTTTTCGACTTACCCAGACTGGTCCTCCCTATCAAACAACTATAATAATAAATATCCTTTTCAGGAATGCTATAATGCAATTGTCTGATGCAATTATTGCAGGAAATGTGTATCTCATGGAATAAGGTCTATTCTATCTCAAATGGTACACTTCTAAATTTCAGGTTAACTTAACTATACCTATTGTTGACAGATATATGACCCTTAACTCTGCAAACAATATTACTAATTGTTCTAAAATGTATGATGCAGGTATACACTTCTACAGCAATGTTGGGTCGATGTGGTTGACTGCACAGGAAAGCTCACTCAGCCAGAAACTGCTTGATGTTGCCAATCAGACTGGTATCCATGCCACAGTCCTTGATCAGGAAAAACTTCACCAGTCCTATAACTTTTTGTCCACCGAAAGCATACCATTACAGAAAAACACAGAAATTGTGGGTATTATAGAAAAATCTGGGGCAGGGTATCTTAGCCCTCGGAAACTGGTTCGGGCTCAACAGATGCTTGCTCATCGTCAAGGATGTAAAATAGTTGATGACATTGTCAACCGTCTGTCATGCCACGATTCTCAGCACAGTTTTGACCTGATTACAGAAGGTGGGAAGATCATCCATGCCAAGAAAGTCTTACTTTGTGCTGGTGCCTCCCTTGCTCTGGAAGATTTTCTGCCTGGTGGATTGCAACTTGATTTAGCTTTAAAGACTCAGTTAGTAGTGCTAATGGAGATAGCACAAAAAGACAGAGACAGGCTTCTTGACATGCCATCCCTACACGTCCACGAGGGAGAAAAAGATTTGGGACTAGACTGCTACATATTGCCACCTATTCAATACCCAGATGGTAAATATGTTTATTTAGTGCTGATTGTATCTACCTGAGCACGTTCAATGTTTTTCCATGGTGGCCAACATCCTAAGGGACAAAAATATTTTTAGCTTCGACAAAAATGCTTCCATATGGCTAAGGCAACCAGCCCCTGTCTGAAATAAATCAATAAAAATCGCTCAACTATTTTTTTCCCTTGTAGCACCTCTGGATTATTGTTACTTCTGCATGTGCGTATCAGTGGTCAAAGCACACGCTTGAACTGTTGTTTAAGTTTTAAGTGTTAAAATGAAACATTGTTTAATTCTTTGTCAGTTGGTAACAGCTTTAAATGTAGCTGTTTTTGAAATGCAGTCACTAATGCAATTTGATTTAAGTCAGACGTACCATTTTTGAAAAAGTCAAAGTTTTGTACATTCTTCGAAATTTGCCCATCATGCACTTACTGATGAGCGTGATACCATGAATTACAAATAACTTCAAATTCAAACCCCTGATTTTTGGATGTGTTGTAAGTAGTCAGGTTGTAGGTGGGATCTGAAAGGGGAGACTCTCCCACAGCTTTAAGAAGGTCCAAACCCCCGAGCCCTTTAGGTTAAGGGTTTATATGACATTTTGTAATTGCTTTGCAGGTCAATGGTACTTGAAAATTGGTCATGGTAAAGTTGGTGAAGAGGAAGTAACATCAAAGGAGCAATTGAAAGCTTGGTATTGTGGGTGTGGTGATGCCAGCACATCAGATAGACTCACTCAGCGCTTACAAGATTTATTTCCTGGTGAGATTAGTATGCATATCCATTTGATCTCGCTATATTTTTATTATATTATCCTTTTTGTCCGATTCCAAGACTTTGTTTAGTGTGATAACCAAAAGTCTTGGAATCAGACAAAAAGGATTATACAAGACATGGTCGCTCATTCTTCTAAGTCTTCCTAGTTTTGGGATGCCATTTTTTTTGGGAAAATGAAGAGGACCTTTTCTGGCATCTTCTGGCCTCGTTTTGTTAAAGTTTGTATGCTCATGCATTGGCAAACATTGGGATCATGAAGTAATCTCAGGTTAGCTCCGTTAGAAATTTATTGTTTTCGGTGAAAACATGCATTTCCAAATTGAAGCATCACTGTTAATTATTGACCTGGAGCCAACTCACATGTACATTATTATTGATATGCAAAATCTCCGTAAATGAAGTTAAGTGATTGGTATTGTACCGAGTACTTAGTGTGGAGGCCAGTAGTCTGGTGCTACAACTCTTTGTATGCCTTAATTAAAGAGGAATGTAGCGTGTAACTTACTACCTTCGTGTGGACGCGTTACGACAGCAGTGGCAATTAAAAGTCTAGGTAAAGTACACGATTTGTTTGTACGGAGCGATTTTTTTTCAGTGATAGCTCAAGTTGTGGGGGGGGGAACGAAAAGTACACTCTGTAGGATTTTGGTTTATTTTAATTAGCTTCACTTAGTTTCTTCCGTTGTTACAGCCCTTTTGGCTAAAATTTGCTTTTTGTTTCAACAAACATGGTGGCGGTATACTTACTTCCATCTAGTAGCTTTTGAAATGTGCTCCATCTTTACTTGAATGTGCACATAACTGTGTATCATGTGATTTGTCTCCCTTGACGGAAATTGTCTCAAAGCATGTGTAAATTTATTTCTGTCTAGGTTTGAACCCAATCTCCCTACACACTGTTACCTGTGTGACTGCATGCACACCAACAGGACACCTTTATTGCGACATGGTTGCCCCTGGACTTGGTGTTCTAGTTGGTGGTAATGGATATGGAGCTAAGTCATCAGATGAGATAGGTCATATGGGGGCTAACATGATACTGAAAGGGGAATGGGACTATGACATGCCCAAGGACAAGTTCGCAGTGCAGTTGAAATCACCAGAGTTTACAATATCCCCACTAAAACCTCAACAGAAATGATACAGTCATCGTGTATGCTTTGAAACTTTTATTGATGTTGGTGAGTCAGGAGTGATAGCTTGGGGTGCTTGAACATTTAGTTTAACACGATTGGGCCTTTTTATTGTTATGTATTTCAGAACTTCACAAAAGTGAAGTTGAATTTGGATTCTACTGAGCCGTACTGCGACACGGAGTTGTACACCCTTGTGCTTATACAGCCTTCAGATTTTAAAGTATGTCGTCCCGTAAAGACATCTAGCTAAATATCTCACTGTCAATGCCCTAACGAAACGAGGTTCACTTTAGGGTGGGTGGCACCATGGACAGAAAGAAGAGCATGTATAATCCCTCCGAGCAAGGCCGAATCTAGACCCACTTTTGTTGGGGGGGACAAGAAAGCAGCGGCCCTGGTGCACTTTTACGCGCATCAACTGATCCCACCAGTCAGAATTAAGCAGCTGCTCAGAAACACAGTGGCTCTGACCATATAAAAAGACCTCCATTAAGACACTTTATGTCTTCACTTTGACTAAAGAAAAAAATCTCATCAGGTTTTTATTTAATTGGGGGAGTGGGCCCTGGCCCCGTTAGCTCCCCTTTAGAGAACTGAGGTTTAGTTTGATTCTACAGAGATAATTATTTACGCTAACCATTATTTTAATTATTCATAATAACCATCACATGCTGTCGTCATTGCCTGAAGTGGAGAATTAAAGAAACGCCAGTACACTGAAGCAAAGAGTTTCATGCTCATTTACCCTTGGTCCATCCTTGCCCCCGTATCGTAATACGGCTTCATAGAATCCAAATCCACCTTCAAGTTTGTTAAGCCTCTTGAATATTAGGATTCTAACTTGTATAACGTCACTAAGTGATCATGTGAGATGTTTAAAGCTAAAATCGCGGGAATGAGACACCAAAGAAATGCAAAGCCATCAGATAACAGAAAAGTATCACCATATGCTACGAGTCAGTATATTACATATAACGTCAATAGGCCTTTAGTCAAGTCAAATTTTCTCAGATTCACTTTTTGTGAATGTCTGTACTCTTCTTTTATGTATGAGGACTATTTAGATTCTTATTTGTAGTTAGATGGACGGAAAAGTGCACTTTTAAACATTCTAAATTCACCAAGCATTTCTGGACAAGTTTTGCCTTGATGCAAACCCAGGAAGACACTGCTCCTTTTGCATGCTTTCATGTTTAAATTGCGAACTCTAAATTTGCTATTTGAAATCATTTGTGAGAGGAGATTGCTCCCCGACTTATTGCCACATACTTACACAACAATAAATTGCGAAAGGAAATGAAATCTACTGTTGCAGTTTTTAAAAAGAATCCAGAATTTTTTTGAGCACAAATCAGTGCAACATTTAGGTTCAGTGCCTGGTATATCTTCGTCTTGCTCATGAATATGCAAATGTACATTAGCATTAACAGCCATAAAAGCTCCAAAATATGGGTCAAGATAGTAGAACTATAATTTAAAATGAGGTTAGTTGGAACCCAAGAGTGTAGTTACAAGCATTTTAGTAAGATTTAGTATAAAAAATTCCATTTCATGGTCCCTTTAATGATTTGATATTTTCTTTGTTGTTAAACAACAATATCGCTATTATAGTTAAGTTCCTAAGTGATAAATGTGTATGTACTCCATGCCTCTTTTGTTTGCAGTATTCCATGATGCCTTTATATATGCGCAAATAAAAAGCTCTGAAAGCCATTAAACAAGTCCCCCAATCTTCTCAATCTGCAGATACAAATTAACGAAGCATTTATACCAATTGTATTGCAATAAATCAGAGGTAATCAAAAAACTGTGTTTCAGTAGATCTTACCCGTAGAAGTGATTGTGTTTTATAAAAATGTGGCATGTCCAAGAATGCCTTAGCAAAATCTTCATCTATTGCTGTGTCTCTCACTGGGTCTACAGCACTCATGTTATTCATATTTTCTTAGAGGGCGCAAAAAGTGCAAACAATATAGGCTACGCTACCCACAGTGCCCAGCGTTATACCCGCCATCTTCTCTTCTCTTTCTCTTGGCGTTGGATAGTGTCAGCTCTTGAAAACATTCCTGCGCCATTTTCTCGGGTTTATCTTCACCAACCTCATGATCTGCTTGTGTTTATTGTCGATCGATTTATTAAAGAACAGAGTTCGCCTTTGTCTTGTTTATCTTCAGTTGTTAGTGTTTATTCTGGTAGGTAGGTCGCGGATTATACGCATATGGTTATGTAGTCATGTGGTAGGCTAAAAGGATCCGTAAGAGGAGATCGACTACCGCTACTGGAAACGGGACCCACTGTCTCTGTTGAGGCGCGAGGTGTGGCATTACCCTTCGCTGGGCCTAACCTCGACCTTAAACCTGCTGGGAGTACCTTCTCCCGTCAGTTGATTTCATTCGTCGCCCAGGATCGGGGACAGCCAACCCAGTCCCTGGGAATTGGGCTACAGTAAGCCTGCCCCGCTTATAACTATTTACGACAGTCGATAGAGAAGTTCGCCAGCATGAGACGCCAACATATAGCAGGAGGCCTAAGCTTCAACGGCAAAAGGTGGGCACCCCTCCTCTAGATTTGCCTGCCAGGGCCTCGAGACGAGCTCCAGTTTCGAGCTCCGTATCCATGGCCCCTACAGGCCCAATGTGAGCGGTTGAACAGACACAACCCATGGTTCCCCAGCGGCCAAAAATCCCCAGGCTAGCACTGCTTCACATTCAAACCCTTCACTCACCGGCTCGCTTGTTTCTGGCCTGCTAGTCGGAGACTCACAGCAACCGACGGTTTCCCCAGCTTTATCATCAACTTCGGAACTTCTTCGTTGA